ACCCCACTATGCTGTGCACTGCTGTTCCAACCCATGTCACAGCCCCATGGGTACCACTGCCCAAAAGAAGGGCACATCTTGGAGCTGACCCTGGGACCTCTGCACCAAAGTGAGAATCATACCCCTAGACACATGAGCCATTCCCCCTGCCCTCAGCCTGTGTCCTCCATTCCCCCATGGTGCTCAGCACAGGCTGAAGGCTCTTGGGTGCCCCCATCTCCTACCACCACCCCTCAGAGACCTATTCCACATGGTCCTGTGTGGCTTTGGGACAGGAGCTGTGAGTTCTGGGTTACTGGCAAATTCCCTCATCTGTTCTTTTTTACGAGTCCCTGGGAGCTGCCAGCCATGGGGATCAGCAGGGTGTTGGGGCTGGGCCTCCTACAGGTGCTATAGGGGGCAGGACTGGGGTTCAGCTCCAAGGCAGGACACAGGGAGTTTTTCAGGACACAGTTCCTGAGGGTTGGGCTGCCTATAGCTGTGCTGGGGTGGGAACATGAGCTGCTGCAGGAGCCCCAGCTGGTGGGAACCCCCCTTCTCACAGGGAGAACAGGGCAAAGAGCTGACTTTCAGACAGCAGCGAGCCTCCGGTGCTGATTGCATCACATGGCTGTGCCAGAGCAGGGACTCCCTCCATCCAAACCCCCTGAGCTGACTGAGGTGACGTGGGAGGATAGTTCAGCCACAGCCTTGCTCCTCCCCCCTGCCCTTCACATCACAGAGGGCTGGGGGAAGGGGGCAGGGGAGACTCTGCACCCCATGGTTTCCAGGTCTTGTAACCCCCCGTGGACACCCAGCTCCTTCAGCCCCACACACCCAGCACTGACAGCAGCCACCTCGCACAGCAGTGGCCACGTCACCCTTCTCCTCTTTGGGAAATGCCCAGACACCTCTCAGGAAACATGAATTAGCAGCCCTGGAATGTCTAATTGAACAATTCTTGAGTTTAAAACTCAAATTCCCTCGTAGGACCCTGTAAACTGTTGGGATTTGGGCTCTGCTTTCATTGCGCTCATCCCTGTGTCTCCCCAGGGGCTGCCATCGACAGCAAAAGCTCGGAGGAGAAGAGGGTGTAGGACAGCCGGGAGCAATGTCTGTTGATGATTTGGGCTCAGGGTGAGACACGGAGCCAACAGGGCTGCGGGCTCACTGGGGTGCAAGCCTTGTGAGCCCCATTCCCACAGGGAGCACCAGGAGGGCCAGACTGGGATGCCAGTGCCTTTTGATTTGCCTGCTTCTTCCCCCATGACTCACACATGTGGGCAGCCTGTTATTTTCCTGCTTTATTGGATTTCCAGCCCTGGGGAAGAGCTGAAGCCCTTGTCAGAGCTATTGCCTGTCTGACTCTCCAGGCACGGCAGGGAGGGCACCCCAAGGAATGGCAGCGAGCCCCTGCCCTGTGCTCGATCTGTGGGGGCCTGGGGTGGGATGTCCTCAGTGGTGCCCTCATCTTCCTCTTATCCTGGCCATACAACCACTTTCTCTTAGCTTCCTAAAGCTGAAAAGCAGGTGTCCTCTCTGCTTTGGTGGGAAATTGCATTGCAAGACTTTGGTGGGTGAGGAAGGATATTTTTCACAGAAAGAGAGTGGTTTGGTTTAGAAGGTACCTACCTACAAGACCATCTCATTCCAGCTCCCTGCCATGGACAGGGACACCTTCCACTGGGCCAGGTTGCTCCAAGCCCCATCCATCCTGGCCTTGAACACTTCCAGGATTGGGCCACACAAGTCCCATCTCCACCTGCTGTGCCTGCAGGCTCCCAGCTCCAGGGGCTCTGTCTCTCACCTGGCTGTCTCCAGGATGTGTGTCCCCAAGTGCTCTGGCCCCAGCGAGGAGGATGAGGGATGCTGCCTGTTGATGCCAGCTCGCCCTTCCAGCGTTGCCCTCAGCTCAGTGCCTGGTCTGAGATACACATTTTGCAACCCAGCAAAGGTACAGGTGGTGGATCTGGCTCTTCATCCTCTCCCACTGCTGTGAGACACCACAATTTTTGTCTTCTCATCTGGATGTGATGGCAGAGAAGCCATGGATTGATGTGCTGGGATGACCCATCAATGACCCAGCCACCACCAACTCTTCTGTCCCTATCACTAGCACCATGCTGCCTGGGATTTCCATAGAATCACAGAATATCCTGAGTTGAAATGGGACCCATGAGGACCCTCAAGTCCAACTCCTGGCTCAGCACAGGACAACCCCTAGAATCCCACCATGTGCCTGAGGGTGTTGTCCAAACGCTCCTTGAGCTCTGGCAGCCTTGGGGCTGTGACCCTGGGGAGACTGTTCAGTGCCCAAACACCCTCTGGGGGAGGAACCTTTTCCTGAGATCCAACTTAAACCTCCCTTGACAAAATCTCCACTCCGGATGGTCCCACTCACTTGCTCTTCACACCAATCTTCCCTTTTCCATAGCAACTCTCTATGATTCTCCACTTGTTCCTCCTCAAACCATGACTTCCCCTCCTCCTTCCCACCTCATCCATCCCCAGGATGGGGAGGTACCCATCCTCCAGGAGTGAGAGGATACTGAGTGACCACAGGGAGAAGGTCTCCTCCAAGGTCACGAAGCAACTGAGGAAAGATGGGAGGTGAGCAGGAGACATAAAACTCAATAGGCATGGCCAGAGAGTTCCACCTGGGCTGTACTCCAGGCTCTTCTCAGAAATGCTTCTGCTTTTGCTGCTTTTGAAAACCATAAGCAGGCAATGCTGGGACCAAATCCCAGGACCCAGCTGTTTCTCTCCATGTGCACCCTTCCACCCGCTAAGCATTATTTTGCATCCCAGACTCAGTATGTAGCTCCCTGTTTCTCACCAGGGCCTTTGGCTGCAGGAACCTGTATTTTAGGGCCTGATCAGCAGGTCTGTGCAGTCCTGCCCCGGGCAAATGCTGGCTGGGGGGGATACGTGGTGGAATGAACTCAGGATGGCTCTTGAGCTGGGAGCCAAGGAGGCACAGCTCCCAGCTGGAGTCAAGGCACCCGTGGAAGACTGAGTCCCTGGGACAGGGAGCCCTGCAGGGCACCAAGGTCCTCACTTCCCCAACTGTCTGCACTAAAGCATCACACTTTTCAAGTCAAATCAAGGACCTGTGTGGATTTTCAGAACATTGGATTTTCAGGGAAAAAAAAATTAAAATCTGTGTAACCTTACCGGTGGAGTCATTCAGTGAAAAGCTGAATGATTCCATATAAAAATGCCATTATTCTCTCCACCTGCTCCATCCAGGACTGTCCCATGCAGCAGGCTGCTGGAAAGCTTGGTCAAAGGGTTTTGAAGATCAACATGCTTTCGAGCTAGGCATAATCCCTCATTATAAACACTCATCAGCTTTATGCAAATACTCCTGTTCTTCCTTCCATCAGCTGAAAAAGTTCTGCCTGATGATACATGGCATCTTAAAAAGAGGCTTTACTTGATGTCTGACACCTTCTCCCAGAGACAGCTGCATCCCCTATCAATAAAACAATTATTCTCCAATTCTTGACTAAAGTCTGGGGTTTTAGTCTTTGGGAAGAGCCTCATCCCCCTCTAACTGACCAGCTCCCAAGCATGGAACCTGCATGTTTCCCCACTCATCAACACAGCACAGCTCCCTGTCCTGCTGTTGCCCTTGCCTTTGTATCTGGAGCACATAGGGAAATTATAGCTTCTTCTTCATGTCCTTATTATTATCTTTCCTTGCCACAGGTTAGAGTATCCATAGCACTTGGTGTCTCTGAGATATCTTAGGATGCCTTTCCCCACACCACCTCTAATCCCTCAGTGCTCATTCACAGCTCTCCACAAATTTGGGCTTCCAACTCATAGAACCATTTAGGTTGGAAAGGATCCTTAAGATCATCAATTCTGGGTCCAGAGGTAACCTGGATGATAACCCTGCACTGCATTTCACATGGCAGGCACCCCTCTTTCTCTGATGGGGCTGGTCACGGGCTGCAGGACTGTGGTCACGGGCTGCAGGACAGTGGTCACGGGCTGCAGGACAAGGTGCACCTGCATCCAAGGTGGGCACTATGTGGCAAAGAGCAAGAATGAAGAGCCTAATCCTTGAGGTCTGGTTTTGCCCCGGTATATTTTAGGAATTTTTTTTACTCTTCACTGTCACCCATTAAACATTAGGTGAGCAGGGCTCCAAAGGAGCACCTCCTACCTTTTTTCACAGACCCCACCTCCACTCTCCTTAGCTCAGCCAAAAAAAATAAAAAAAAAAAATCACTGCAAAATGCAGGGCAAATGCCACATTGAAACGTCGAACCTTATGTTCCCAGCTCCTCAAGAAAACAGGCACTAAGTCTGCTCCTGCAGGAATTCCTCACCTCCAAGCAGGTGTTTGCCGTGGGGCAGGAGAGGTTTCTGGGCTGAGAAAGTTGCCTTCGGGCTGGTTGTAGCAAACCACACACTCTGGGTCAGCACAGCGAAGAGCTGGGCAGCAGAAACCCCCTTTTCATACGAAAAAGAACCCTTCCCACCAGCAACAAGTTGCCCCCAGAGCAGGTCACCCCTTGAGACCCCAGAACAAGGAACACCCGAAGACTCAGTCTATGATGTAGCATGACTTTAATGAGAAGGGGAAGGAGAGTAAATCAGTTCAGAGTGTAAGAAATGTGTTTCCAGTGCTCAGTAAAGAAATGGATAAACCCCATTCCAGGACAAGCCAAATCCCTACAAGGTGTTCCTCCTCCCCACCACCTCATGACTATTATGTGCCATCTACAGCCTGCTAGAAGCATTTATGCCCAGCCAGCAGCAAATGCTGCATAGAACATGGAAATATAAAGTAAGACTTTGCAAGAGAAAGGTATACAGGGGCACGGTCTGGAGTGACAAGCTCGCAGGGCTCTCTTCCTCCTGGGGGAACTGCGGGTGCCCCCCGCATCTGGGAAACCCAGGGGCTTAGTCCTCTTCCCCAGCCTTGGTCCTTGCGCTTCATTTGTCCCTCCCGACGCGGCCACGCAAGTGTCACCGGCGGGAGGAGGAGGTGACCGCTGGGGACACCTCTACAGCCCGCTGCCCAGGCACAGCAACCCCGCCTTCCCCAGCCCCCGGGCCCCGCCGGAGCACACGGGGATCCCGCAGCACCGCAGGTAGCTCCCGACCGCCGCCGACGCCGTGGAGCCCACTGCGGTGTTCTGCGGGTAGGAGCTGAGGATGGGCCCGGGCAGGGTGACCACGACGGTGGGCGGCTGGATGACAGCGGTGGAGTCCCCGCAGCGGCGGAGGCAGGGCTGGTTGCAGCTGGTGGCCAGTGGCCGGGGACCGCAGGAGGAGGGCAGGCACAGGTCGTAGCAGGACATGGCTCGGCGAGGATGTGCACCTGAAAGCCACAGCCAGGCTGTAAAAGGCAAGGCAGAGGCTGGTCCGCCCCTGCTGAGCCCTCACGCAGCGGCTCCCATTATAAGTGTGCGAGAGTGAACTAGAGAGTGAGTTTGCATGGTTTAGAAACGCCAGAGAAAGGCTTTCCAAATGGGCAGGAGCCAGCATACCCCCCTGCCCCCCTTCCGCCCCGCTCGGGAGAATGGGAGGAGTTTGGTTTGAGCTGCAGATCTGGGGAAGCCGGAGGCACCGGGTGCTGAGAACAGAGAGCAGACCCTCTCCTGCTCCAAGCTGACAGAGAGCCCTCAGCAAGCAAGATGCTCACTGAGATGCATCGAGTTGTAGCAAAGCCCACTTAAATCAATGCAATGTGAGCTGAGCTATCCCATTCCAAAATAAAACAGACCTTTAATGCCCTTCCATAAACAGGGGGACATCAATCCTTGCAGCCTGGGTATGTCCTATTCTATTTTTTTCCCCTCTCCTTCAGCAAGGAAAATCATGCAGGATGCAACTGGTTACATGGTTGCAGACCCTGCAAGCGCTGCATCCCACAACCCCTTGCAGTCTTCATTTTAGGGCAGAGATACACCCTTCCCTGATGTCCTCTGCAGGTGGAAGGGAGGCAGGTAACAAACCTTGAACTCCTGTAGAGGACCGGGCAAGAGCCTGGTGTGGAGGAGATGGAGCCCGTTTTAACTTACCCAGGTGGAGATGGCAGCAGTGGCAGCTGGGAGCAGGTGGTGGGGCTGGGCACTGTCCCCACTGTTTTATAGGGTGGCCCGGCCCCCCAGGGGAGCGAGTGCTTACCTTCCGCCTGAAACTTCCCAACAACCAGCAGTTTTCTCCTGGAAAGCTCCCCTGGCTGATTAAGCAGTTCCCTCTTTCATCTGTCATGTTTTGCTTCCATTTAATACTGAGTAAGATTGAAATGATTTGGGCTACAGGCATTAATTACCTTCCTTCCTAGGGCCAAAGGACATTTTAGGTCTTTAAGCCACCAGGCAGGAGAGTGTTTCAGCAGAATTTAGGGCAGGTGCATCTCCACCTTCCTCACAGCACAACCAATTCAGCTCCCTGGTGCACCTGAGGTGAGACCAGGGACGTAAACTGAACATAGGGAGCATCCATTTGGAGTTAAATCCTGCAGTCTCATGGATGGCAGGAAAACTGAGGGGCTGCAGGGGTGAGGGTGCTGGATAGCACTGATGCAGACACAGGGACATGCGTTAGCCCAGCATGGGCAAATCATTATGGTTCTGGATCCACTTAGAGCCCTTCCATCCCGCTCTTTGGATATGCTAGAAGGTCACAGCTCTGCTTCCTCATGATGGAGGGACATCATCAAGACATGGTTAATTACAGGCTGTGACACCGGGTTGCTATACTGGAAGCCTGTTCACTACTAAAAACAGCCCCAAACATCCCAACCTGCACTTAAAACATGAATCACCTGCATGATGGAGAGAGGGAGTCACTGACATGGTCCTAAGCAGGGGGATGAGCCATTGGGCTCTAAGGGCAAGGAAAGTTTGAAAAAGGTTTTTCATTTCACGCCAGCAGAGCCCAGATGAAGGCACAAACATCTTCTGCCCTGGAATAAACCCTAGCAGTACTGGGACACATGTACTATGCATGTGTGGAACTGTCAGCATCCTGTTAAAGATGTGCCTTGTGGGGTTTAGAGGGGTCATTTTAGTTCTTAGGATGACTTGGACATGGCTGATCACACTGAATGGTCCCTAGTGACTCCTCCCTGCCCTGCCTGCCAGGGTAAAAAAGCCTTTCTAAGGTTCTGGGATCAAACTCAGCTTGTTTTTAACATTATTCTGGAAGGGCAAAAAGGAAATCAGCTTTTCTGAGGTGCAGCAGAGGACACATGCTTCAGAGAGAAGTAATCTGTCAGCTCCTGGAGCTAGTGGGAGGCTGTGGGTTCATCATAATTTCCTAAATGGTGATTTGGTGAGCAGGGAAAGATGAGCGTTTATTTATTGTTTACTTGTTTATTATTGAGCTTTACCTTGCTGCTTCTTGCACCACTCTTGAATAATAAATTGATGCCACAAGAGCACTTTGGACCCACAACCTGAGAATTAAACCCTTCTTCTACCAGTCAAGGTTTCTTTCCCTTCACTAATCAGTTTCCATCTCTCTCTCTCTCTCTCTCTCTCTTTTTTTTTTTTTTTAATGCCTCTGTGCATTCTCATGATCCCAGGAAAACAACCCTTCCTGGGTGACTCCCTTCCAGGCTTCCAGGCACAGTCTGCTATCTTCTGAATTGCAGCCTCACTGTGTGTCTTCGTTTTGCAATCCAGTTTAAGTACTTGAGGTTCTGCTCACAGTGGAACATCACGTCCCAGAATAACATCCAGAGATGCAGTGATGCTTGGAATAAATGCAATGGGGCATAAGAGGGTATGTTGTTGAATGTGAGCAGATCCATGAACTGAAACAAGTCCTTTTCCTGGAAAAGGGGACAGAGGAAACAAAAGGCACATGTCAGGAATTTAAAATAATCAGATTTGTGTAAAGAATGAGACTGAAAAAAAAAAAACCATAGGGGAAAGAGCAGATATTTGGGAGATAAACAAGGACTGTTTTTTCAACCCCTGTTCATTTCAGGGAATGAGCACTTTCTGCTTGAGATGTGACTTTCTCTGGAGGGACCTCAAACCTGAGAAAATTTCACCAAACCAAACACGTCAGACCCATTTTAACTTCTGCACCGATTCAGGATGTGCGGCCACCTCAGCCCTGCCTCTCCCTGCAGAGAAGGACACGAGGAGAAGCATGACCCAGGACCAATAATCCATGTTTCCCTTCCCATCACCAGCCCCAGCAGCACTTTGCAACTCCAATTTCCCCACTTTGCATTTTGATTTCCAGCAACCCAAGGGTTGGATGTCTCTGAGACTGGCTGGATGGTGGGAGCTTGCCCCTGTACCAAAATTTCTCCTGAAAGGCAAAGGCAAGGGCACGTTTTAAAGTAGCAACAGACCCGCTGCATTCTATCTCCAAGGAACATCTGCATCCAGGGCACTTGCCCAGGGCTTGCTTCCTGGCAGTAGGACATGCAGGGACCACTCCCAGATGGCTGATGGATGAGCAGGACACCCCGGTGCCAGGAGGCAGCATCCTGATGCAGACAGACCCAGGCACAGGGCATCCTGGGTGCCTGTGTCCTTGTCAGGGCAGACTCGGGGTGCTCCAGGGCCACCGTGTGCAGCCCAGGGAGCAGAGCCCAGCCGGTGCCACTGGGGAGAGCCAGGCTCTGGCTGCCAGGTGTTGTCCTGGGGCTGCAGATGATCCAGTTTCCTGCCGCCACACGATCCCTATAACTGCCGGGTCCCTGGGTGGGCTGATGCTCCACAGCATCAGCAATGCTGGCACATTCCCTTCAGGAGGACTTGTCACCACTCACCAGGGCAGGGACATGCATGTGCCAGGGCAGGGCTGAAGGGTGTCCTCCTCCAGGCACTTTGGCTCCTCTCCCAGATGCCTCTGCCCTGCAAGTACCCACATCCCTTCCTGTGACAGCAACCCCCATGCCGTGCCTGCACCCACCACCCTGGCCCATTTCACCACCTCCAGCTGCAAGTTGGTTTCTCTCCAGGGCTGCACCCAAACCCACGCCTTTTCCCTAGGAAATCTCCCACATACCCCTCGCAAGGCATCTGGCTGTCCAGGCAAGGACATCCCTCTTTCCCCGGGGTGGCAGAGCTAGCCAAGCACCACAGCATCTCACGGCAGCAGAACAGGATGGGGCTGGTGTTTCCCTGCTGCCTGATCCTGGTTTCTGGCTTGGGAGAAGCTGACAGAGGGGAAGCAGCTCCCTGCTGGTCTCCACATCTCCCCAAGGCATGGAAAGGAAATGTCGTCACAGCAAAGGTCAAAAAAGTGTGGGCAGGTAAGCCTGAGCATCCTCACCTTACCTTGAAGCCATGGCATTGCTTGGCCACATCATCAGTGGAAAGGAGTAGGGAGTAGGGAAGGCACTGGCAAGGCTGGCACAGTGTGTTTCCCCAGGTGCACTGAAGCACAGACACGCTCTGCCAAATGCGGGGCTTCCTTCTCTGCAAGACCTCTGGGATCCCAGACGTGGTTTTACTTCTTTCCTCTTCATCTTGCCATAGCTCACCTTCTTCTGTCTCCAGGAATCCACACCGTGAGCATTGCTGCAGACACAGGAGGGAGCTACCAACACATGGCAGCTACACCATCCTCAGAACAAGCACCTCTGGGACATGGCAATGGCTCAGCAAGACATCTAGGATGGCTTTTGGCTCCCATTGGCACGATGGGGATGCCAGGTCCTAACCTTCCCTGCCCACAGTTTGGTGCTTTGCCTCCTGGAGAAAAGGTGGTGGGACGGCAGGTGGGCTCAGGGAATGGAGTGGGATGGGGGATGCACCAGAGCACGGCCCCTTGCATAGGAGGGCAACGCTGGTCCCTGAGCAACCAGGAGCAGGTTCACCCCGTGGGAGCAGCAATCCAGAGGCAGATGTGATGTGTACTTAACACGGCAGAGCAAAACACAGAGAGCAGGAGGATACCGGGCAGTGCATAAAAAGCTTTCCTTTGGATAGGGGAGGGGTTCAGAGAAACACGACGAGGGTGGGATTCGAACCCACGCGTGCAGAGCACAATGGATTAGCAGTCCATCGCCTTAACCACTCGGCCACCTCGTCCCCTGTGTTGGTCTTTTTTGGCAGCTTTTTTTTTTCTTTTTTTTGACTGCAGACTGCAAAACTGGTGCTGGCCCTTCAGGGTGTCCTCTGGTGAGCCAGGCTGGGCAGGAGGAGCTCTGGCAGCCCCTGTCACAGCAGGACAGGGAGGCAAGCAGGCATTTGTGACCCATTTGCCTCTCTCCATGTTCCCCCTGTGTTCAGACAATCGCAAAGGGCAACATGGCATTTATTTTTGCCATAAAAGTGTGTGCACCAGTCCTCTCCATTACTCACCCACACCCAGCCTCTGTCCA